TTCAACAAAACTAATGAATTTTTTTAGCCCGTTTAAGCCTTCTATAATAGGAATTTCAGGTGGTTCTTCATCAGTATTGCTTGCATCACCTTCTTCTAATTCCCGTTGTTCATCCAACACAATATTAATAATCTGGTTTTCGTCAAGAATATCTTCGTAGGTACTTAAAAATTATTTATACAGTCAAATTCATTTAGCTAGTTTTCGATTATTGAATTTGATAAATTTGTTGTGAGGTCTATAACTAATTCATCCACTTCAATCTTATCAAAATCTGTTAGGTCTTGAATAGAAAAAGTAGTGTTATCAATCTCAGTATCTGATACTAGTGGAAGAATCTCCATCTTTTTCCAACAATTCACGATGGTTGATTCTTCGACTTCATTCCATGATTCTGTGACATAATATATCACCTCTCGAATGTTTACTTTATTCTTGTATAAATAAAAATAAAAAATCATTGTTGTGGATTAAGCTAGACAAGATTTAACTTGCAATACAAACTAACATAAATGGGTGTATAAAAAATCTATTTACTAGATAAATCCACCATGAATTAGACCAGAGTACGAACTAATTTTTTCTTTTTTTTTAAAAAAAAAACAAAATCGCCAATGTATAAAGTGCGTATGTGCTTAAAATTTTTTTTTTCAGTATATATGCCGTAGGTAAGAACTGAATTTAAGTTGATTCAGAATTTTTAAGGTTAGGGTTGGGATTTTTAGTATAATTATTCTATTCTAATCTAGAACTCTATTATGATTTCATTCCTACTCACAACATATATAATTCAGTAATTTATAAAATGTCTTCCATATACGCCCATTTATACACCATTATAGGACTATATACAGTCTATGCATAGTTGTTAAAAAAAAATAATGGTAATACGATTGTATGCATTTAGACATAATCAACTGTGTATTGTATAAGAAATGAAATCTGATGTAATGTTTTAAGCACAATTTTTATTACTATTTGCCACTGCATATTGTAGCTAGTGTGATGCAATATTTGCATAAAAAATTGAACTATGCATCACATGTAGATATAAATTGTACTTTAAGAATTGACTATATTTATTTGTCACACAGTACTATACACAGTGAGCAAATGGTAATATGTTCTTACTTTCTTAATATCAAGTCTTCACCCCTTTCAAACTGATTGATTATATGCTGTATATATTTTTTTTTATATTTCCCTTTGAAGCTATTGATTATTCCTGCATCCATCGGCTGAAGGTGGGCAGTAGTTTTGGGCGATAAAAACTCAATTCGGATATTTGTTAGATGAATATCAGAAGGATCTGGAATTTTATAAGGACGATCAGTGCCAAGGTGACCCTTACTAAAATCAGAAACCCGTCTATGACTGTGACCACGACCGTGACTATGACTGTGACCATGTCCACAACCACGAAGAGAATCTCACCCCTTTTGTTTGTTAATATTACCAACATTCAATCTCGGGTGGCCACGTTGTGTATGTGGGATTTTGGATGTACTTGCATAGATTTCTTTTTCAGATTCTTCTTTGCTTTCTGGTTCTTACTCTTTGATTCTTTATTCTCTGATTCTTCATCTTCATCTTCACTTTCTGGTTCTTCATCTAGTTCCATTGCATCTTGACTATTATCATTATTAGGATTATAATGACTCATTGCACCATCAACTATCAATAAAATTTGCTAGTTTTCTAAATGAAACTTTTTATCAAGTTTTAAGAGCTATTCACAGAAGATTTCGGTTCACATCCAAGCTTTTGAATTTTCGCGATATGTTACAGGTAAGGTATCATAATTTAAACATACCAAGGCCTTAGGTTTAATGGACAATCCAATTACTATAGGTTGTAATTTTTTTGTTCCAGTTACATTTACGGCCAGCATAACTGTAATACGTGCATGATTCTAAATAATGTACAAATGACTAAAATCAGTAAACTAAATAAATTTGATATATCTGATTTAAGTTGTAACCAATGTTTAAAATTTGATGTTTTCAGTATTCTTCAAGACCGATACACAAATTTGGTAGCCCCTTTACAGAAATGTTAAACAGTGCTCCATGCTCTAATAATTAGTAAATATAAGATTATTAAACTAAGATTAATATAAAGGGTAGAGGTTAGAGTAAGATATCGTTTATAGTAAAATTTATCAAGGAATATTTTTATTTAGTTCTCTCAATTAAAATATAGAAGGGGAGCATCAAATGCATGAGCACCATACAAAATACCCTATAACTTATTAATGCATGTTCTTTATTTGAGTGCTGTCAAGGGAAAATGTCTCTCTGTAAATTGTAATATATTAATGATTATTTATCTGAGTCAGCCCTTCTGATCAATGATGCATCGGGCTTTCAAAATTTGTGCTGTATTGTATGTACATACATATATCATGATTATTTTTTAATCAATATGTTATATAATTAAAAGCCCGATGTGTCATTGGCCTGAGGGGCTGAATTAGATAAATAATCTATGGGTTATTTTCTCTCATTTTAGAACATTAAATGAAATTTTAAGCATTAAAAAAATTCTAATTTTTTATATAAAAAAATTTCTAATTTTTTGAGAACATAAAATTAAACTCGAATTTTAAACATTGATTGTATCAGAACAAATTAAAAAAAAACCTTCTTGCAATCTGATTGTAGTTGTAACACGAGTGTTTGATACAGTGCTATACGAAAATATAAACCTGTTTCATCGGCATTAAAAACATTATTTAATGGATACTTTTCGATTATTTTGCGTAACTTTACTCTTTGTTCTAGAAGTAATTCCATTGGCGCACTATTGGCTACTCTATATATCTGGTAGTTTTGCAGATTATTTTTTTTTTTGAACTTATGAACCCATCCATTAGAAAATTTTAGCACATTATCTTGTAAACCTAATGCCTGGGCAAAAAAAATTACCTTTTCCTTAATAATCGCTTTTGTCAAAAAAATTTTACTGCCTATAACTTGTTCGACCCACAGTCACATAGCTTTATCTAATAAAGGATATTTAACTTGTTTGTGACGAAAAACATTCGTATTGGCTTTATTATCAACAAGTGTTAACCATTTTTCTTTTGCTTTTAAAATTTTTGAAATAGTCGAACATTTAAGATTTAATGCTGAATCTCTTTGCTTAAAATATTGCGCAATATTTAAATGCGTTTCATTTAGGAATTTATTGCTATATTCACAAATTTCCTTTTTTAAGCTATTACTAATGGCCGTCCTTGCTCTTTTATTTGATATTTTTCACACTTAATACCTTTATATTTTTTAAAGAAATTGTAAATGTTAATTATATTAAGCTTTAACTATAGTAAAATTTATAGCAAAATGTAATTCATGGAAAACCAACAATAAAACTTGACTTACAATGAACTGACCCATGGTAAACTTAATAACTGTGAATATAAATCACAGCAAAATTTCACTCAAAATTAATTTATTATAACAAAGCTAATAATGTTAAGCTTAACCATGAGATCAGCAAAACCTCAATTGACAGAAGCTTTTAAAAGTTTTTTTTTGATCAAAAAAAAAAATTTTTTTTGATTAAAAAAAATTTTGATTTCATCTTATTTGATACTTCTTGTTTCCATTCCAACACAATATAATTTATTCTTTATGCCAGGCATATGCTACTAGTATTGCCACCTATATTTGTTCTTGATCTTCATACGCCAGACTCTCTTCTAATTTTTTTATACTTTGGCACCACCTGTGATAGAATTCTCTAACATGACCAACAAAAACGTTCAGGCAGATGAGTGGCTGCTACTTGTTTAATGTTTATACATATATGCAGCTATTGATAAATATAAAAGGTACATAAGTAAAGTAAGTAAATATAATTTTTAACAAAATTATAATGTTATACATCGATCCTATCACACCGGCTATAATCAATATTACTATTATGAATGCTTTATTAAAAAACTTATTTGGCTATGAATAATATACCCTATTTGTAGTTATTGATCAATTCTTAATCAACTTTGACTATCAGATCAAATGAGTGCTGCCAAGAGAAAACCTGTAAGCCAATTTTGAGGCATCAATAAGGTGAGTTTACCCCTGGGAAAATTGTGATATAAAGTATTAAATCATTGTATACAATTAGTGTTCCATATTATGTGCACTTGTTGCTATTTAACAGACTTAGGTTAATAAAAATTTTAATGATACTGATTGTATACAATGATTTAATACGTCATATCACAATTTTCCCAGAGTAAACTCATCTTATTGATGCCTCAAAATTGGCTTACAGGTTTTCCCTTGGCAGCACTCAAATAATCTCTTTACTATTTAATTTTCATTGTCTTTGGTTCATTCAGTTAATTTATTTATATTTATTATTCATTTCTTTATTTATCTTTATTATTCATTTCTTTTATTACGCATTCAATTCTTTATTCAATTCTGGTTATGTGCGCTTTAATGGTTTTGATTGGCTAATAATATAATAATATGTTCATAACCAGGTTTGGCACTTGCTATTTAAGTAATCAATGCATTCAATTTCCAAAACTGTAATAATCTTTTATATTTTTAATGCGATTTATCATTTTTGCATATTATTATATCAGATTATAACAGATTATAACCAAAAATGTCATTTTTGATAACACTATAACATTTTTGATTAGTCATAAGTTTCAAAAACATAATCGTGTTTAAAATAGACATGATATCACTTCACTTAATTCAAATGAGGTCATATACATATTGGTACATATGATTATAAAAATTAGAACATTTTTATTAGCATTTACACTGAGCCTTGAGGCGCATTTATGCTGTAGATTGAGTGTATCAGTTTACATTATATTTTGATATTCTAAAGATTAACATACTATGACAATATAATTATAAAAGATAAGTAATGACATAAATAATTAAAAAAAATACAGAAGTGAGAAACACAGAATTGTGGACAGTGCATAAAATTTACTGTAAAATACTGGAAATTTCGGTAAATTAAAAATTTCTTGATAGTTGATAGTTGGAAATTTTCCTTTCGTTCAGAATTTATTATATTCTTAAATTATAACTGATTGTTACTATCGTTACTACCTTCGACTATAGATACTAAATTTCATTTAATAAAAGATCGCTAAAAAAATATTGGGACATGTTATGCCACAATTCGTGTACTGATTGTGGATAGTGTTGCTGATGCAGAGTACTTGGTGACATTAACAGTGCTCCAGTACTGGTGGTGCATCTGGACTGGGTAAAACTGCCACCCAAAAAGTTTCAAGATCGCATGATATTGTCAATTCATATCAATTCTTCAAAATGAATATGATCGTTGCAATCTCAACAAACTA